GTAGCCTTAACGTGAATTTGGGTAGGGAAAAGAAAGTCATGTCTAGTCTCAGAACAAACATGAAACAATCACTATACAAAGGCTTTTCACATGAGCATATTTAAACTAAAGGATTTATACTTTCAATAAGAAGAATGTCTACTCAGTATTTATCTTTAAGTACATAAATATTAAGATATATTTACTTAAAGCACTTTTAACCATTTTAGCTATTTAACAGTTAAACCACTGCCTTCAAAATATGCATGAAAATTTAGTGACATTAATGCTTTAATAAAGCAAGAACAGCTGGGTTATAAAAATTAAAAAGAATAATAATAACACAGAATAATCTATTTTCTGGGCTGGCATGTTTTATTCCTGATTAAAATGCAAAAATGTTTAGGTGCAAACAAATGTTTGAATAAAGATATGGCATTTTTAAATATCTGGTGTTATTCGATAAACTCCAAAGTGAATAAAACATCTGAATAGCTGTTTGAAAACATGTAAATACTGCTTGACCTCGGTGACAAACAAGCAGGTGTCAGAAGTTGCGTGGCGCTGCTTTGTATACAGGGTTAACCATGGTAATGGCTGTACTTCTGCTGTTCCTAAAGCGCCACCTGCCGTCAGTGAGTGAACTTGCATTTTTATTCAGCACGTCTGCTGCTTTTGTTCAGATCAATGAGAAAATCTGACCAAACTTTTACACAGAAAATGCGCAGTGTTAAGTGAAAACTTGACTGGTCGAGGGAAAATAAGATAATTTGCGTTTTAAAAATCTAAACCATTCGTATAGTAAGATATCTAGAATTATCCACGTATTTTGAAAGGCCCAAGATAACAATACCATTCATTTTCATTACTGTTGTTACGTTGGCATAGTGGGTTTTCATAGGGCCCCCTGGTGGCCACGGGGCCCTATGCAACCTCTTATATTGCTTATTAGGTCAGGCCGGCTCTGCCAGCAAGTAATAATAATGCTCAGAATGCTTGTGGATTAAACGTTTATTGCCATGGATTTTATCGGGTTACATGAAAAGGTAGGACATGGATTTATTTGCGAACTGTTACTACTGATTTTGTGTGATACATGCTACGCTGTGATGGCATTCGTGCAACTAGAAGTGGGCAGCCCCAGATTGACAGGCTGGCACTGAGTGAATAATCTGCATTATTAAAAGAAAAAACAAACAAACTAAAGATTATTTATGATTATCGTTGCAAAGTTATCTAGTCTTTGCCTGTTTACAGTGCTTTGTTAAATGGAGCAGTTTGGTAGATCGCAATCTAATTCGTCTGTCTAATGAAGTGCACTGTAATTTAAATGCGGCAGACTTTAATGGACAGTAAAACAAGGGCAGATGACCGTATAACTCCGGGCCAGCACAGTAGCTTCATATTGACGCACGGCTAAACAAAGGCAGAGCACCGTAACTCAATTTGAGCGTTCCAAATAATTTCAGTCCTTATCTTCATATGAGAGTGGAATATTTAATGTAAATGTATATATATCGACATGAAAACAGAGCTTAAAATCATTGTTTTTACTTCATTAATTTTCTCACTCAAGGAAAAAGAGTTCGTACGCATGGGTCAGAGTTTGCGTGCAAGTGCGCAAATCTTCCCGTCAAGTTTGTTTTTATAAATCCCACCTTTTGCGCAGGAAGTGGCGTACGCCTCTTTCAGGGCTGTTTTTGTGCGGACGCAATGGTTATAAATGAGGCCCCTGGTCTCTAAACACGTCGACTGGTCAAGCTCATGCATGGGATCAGATTTGAGCTTGACCACATATCTGTAGTGGACTAAAATGAGATGTTTTTTTTTTATCTTCATCAGAATGTCATCTTTCATTTTGTTGTACAAAAGGTTTTGGAGCTGTGCGTTTTCTTAGGATTCGTACTGCCTGTCAAAAGTTTGCAGCATATTTTTAAAGCCTGTTTTTGACCATGTTAGATGGCTACATCTCTTTAGCTATATATTGAATTACGGTTGAATTATTTGCACTGTCAGGCAAAGGCATCAGTAATCGCTAATCGTCTGGAAGACAGGAGATGTGGATTGCGGCTTTCAAACCAACTTATTTTCCCAAACTGGCTGTAGTAGCAAGCAAAACAGTTCCTGGAGGTCCACAGCCCTGCAGAGTTTAGCTTCAACCTTAATTAAACGCACCTGATCCAGCTAATCAAGTTCTTTCGGGTTATTTGAAAACTACAGGTATATGAGTTGGAATTAAACTTTGTAGGACTGTGGCCCTCCAGGAACTGAGTTCAGCACCCCTTGCCTAGAGTAAAGCTTTCTATTCACCTGTTGCTGTCCACTCTCTGTGTGGAGGAGCTGCCTGCGCCTCCGACACATTGAGCAGATGAGATGACCGATACAGTGCGATCTGATATATAAATATGAATGCCACAACATTATTTTTTATAAACACAACGGCCTTTGGCACAGATAGCCTCATAGGCAATGTGTCTACATGTAGCGTTGTTGCACTTCGGGCATCCCGAGTTCGAGTCCCGGTTCGTGGACCTTTCCCGATAATTTGATATAGTAATTATTGCGACACGCCTATGTATATAGAACCCAAATCAAATATGGCAACATGTTTAGTCACATGACTTGCATGAGCCAGTGAGGTTTGATTGACGTGTCACCATATTTGATTTGGGCGCTGAAAACAGAGACGTTTACTAATACATTATTAATATCAAATGTTGAATATCATATTCCATGACTACCATATCTACCATGTCTTGCCTTTGGTGGCAACAAGTCCAAAACAGACATATTTCAAGTGACACGGAAAAAAAGACATGGAAAAATTCAATGAACATCAGAAAAGCAGCGTGCTCATTTATGGTTAAAAATTAAAGGTCATCAACAGACACATAAAACAGCAAGCATCACCACTCAAATCAGCAGCATGAGTCAAAGCTAGTCCACAGTTTAGTAAATGACAGTGACTGCTTTGATGCAGTGCAATAAGGTACAGCATCGTTTTGATAGTTATATTCCTAAAGATTTTCCTGTGAAATAAATTTTTGTGCATTTCTTTTGCCCCCTCCTCCTTTTGTTTTAAGAAAAAGTTGAAGGAGACACAGAGAAGGCTCCAGCAGAGACTCCAGCAGAGAGAGAAAGATCTTCAGCAGCTGAGAGAGGCTGTGGAGTCTCAGAAGGTGAGTCTGGAGAAGAAGAGAAGTTTGTCTCCGTCTCAGTTTGGACTCTCCTCTTCAGTCCCACAGAAGCCCACTGTGTGATTGTGATGTGTGTCATACAGCGCTCTGCACAGACAGCAGTGCATTACAGTGAGAGGATCTTTACTGAGCTCATCCGCTCCATTGAGAGGAGCCGCTCTGAGGTCACACAGATGATCAGAGATCAGGAGAAGACTGCAGTGAGTCGAGCTGAAGGACGACTGGAGCGACTGGAGCAGGAGATCAATGATCTGAGGAGGAGAGACGCTGAGCTGGAGCAGCTGGAGCACACACAGGATCACATCCAGTTCCTGCAGGTAACACAGATTTAAGCAAGATCCTGCTCTGACAGGAAACTTGCAAAGAAACGATTCATGAGAGCAGAATGAGCCGTTGACCGCAGAGTTGTCAGGAATTCTGTGTGTTGTGTTGTGCCAGACTCATCTGATCATCTTCTTTTAAAGATACTGCACTCACTTAGGAAACATTTCTCTGAGCTTTTTCTTCTGGAAGATTCTCATTATACAATTATTTTGCCGCAACTGGTACCACCGTTGCCACTTCTGCAACAAAATGCATTTGTAGCTTTCAGTGGCGCTTTAACCATACACTTGTACAAGTTATCAGGCAAACATATTAAATCACATTTTTGCATGTAGCAGTCAACTTTGCTTTGCCAATGGGCTAGATTTGACAGTTGCAGTCGGCAGCATAATGAATTAAATGTATGCACATTTCCTTCCGTATTTGTAAATGAAATTCATCTCAAATCCTTTTTCTATCGTTTCAGGTTTGTCATTCATTGTTATTCGAATGCAAGAAAAATATAGCTGGTTTTGCAAGTAAAAACCGCCAAATAAGGTTTACACATAGTTGCGTTATGATAGGTAATCAGAGGGTGGGGAGATGGGGGGGATTCCCCCGGGTCTATATGTCTCTCTGCATCAGCTAAATAATTTTTTTATTCCCAGTGAATAGGAGTTAAAGCTTCCACCAAGTGACACTACTCCAATAACAGACCATGCAAAATACCCCAAAATATTTAAAATATTGCAAAGTAATGTTACAACCTTGCAAACAATAATAAAATCAGAGAAGGACTTTAACTGTAAGCGACACGAGCATACGCAAAACAAGGGGAACAATATGATGTTTGTTATTATTAAAATTTTATATAGCCCACATTTTTATAAACATTTTTTGTTTTTAATTTACCGCTTAGGCAGTAACATTGACAATAAAGTATATCTTCAACATACATTGTCCATGACCAAAAATGTAAGAAGATAATGTTTTCAGTGGACTTTTGAAATTTGCATTGCTTGAGAAAACAAAAATATACAGTTAGTGTTTTTTTTCTTTTGATTTAGTCGAGTTGGTTTAGCATTAAACACAATGTGATTTTCGGCAATCGAGATCTGACAGCAACAACATATTTTTCCACTTGGGCGAGCGCTTCACTAACAGCATACCTCACGCATTAAATCTGCCGCAGACCAGCAAATCACTGAGAACACGCTATAATCCTGACCAGTCATAGCAACAGAGCAGAGGCGAGAAAGCTGCGGAGAATTCGCTCGCCCGGAAGCAACCGCAACTGGTAGATTTAAAGAAAATTATTGCCATTTGGCAAATAAATCATTGTGCGTACTTATTCCTAACTCTTTAAGCTTTAAGTTACATTTCAAATGACAAGGGATCAACTTATAATCATGTTTATATGAATTATCCCATAAACTTATTCTCTCAAATGGCCTGGGTATGCGGAGCATTCGCAGCTTATATCCCTAGAAGGGGAACTTGTGGTTAAAGCACCACTCGGCGGTCAACAGCTGCAAATGCATTTTGCAGACACGGCAGCAGCGGTACCCGCAGCCGTAAAAAGCAAAATCTGGTTGAGTAGTTGACTGCTGGGAAATTGAGACCATTTTAAAAATCACACTGAAACATTTAAATTGATACCAAACATGAAAGAATTAAAATCATGAATTCTTGAGATATAATAAATGCAGTATGTATATTAAGCTGAGTTCCTGACACTCTGAGTCAACTTTCAGTGACCAAGGAGGGTGGGAGGGGGCTTAAGGATGGGTGAAGGGACAGTTGGGCAAATGGTTTTCTTTGAGATCTTTTCTGTAGATTAGGAAGTTTATTGTTTTGTTGCATGGTATCCGTTTTGTGAGTTTGGTTTCACGGGGAGATCAGACCGGCCTTTCATTTGCATGCATTTTGGTTTACTACCTAATACAGAGTTATGGCATGAAACTCTAGATGGCGCAGTCCGATAGGTCTAACTCAATCTGACCTAATGACATAATCACATGGCACAGCTGATTGGTTCTCTCCTGTATCGGTAGTCAATGAGCTCGTGCTCACCATTCAAATATATGACTAGGGTTTGTCGTATCAGTTGCAGCTTGCTTCAGAACAGCGAAATCAACATCTAAGATAAGTGAATGCTCTTCCAATCCATATCGCTGTGTGCGCGGTCTGCCTAATTGAATTAAAAAATGAGCAACTATAATGAAGTTTAAACTAAGTGTCATGTTAGCAGTTTGCATTGTATGCAGGAGCCAATATTAAGCATATTAGCAGCAGCATTTAGCATCTGTGTTTATACAGCTGGAGCAAAACGCAGTTTAGAGCATATTTAATCGCTCTGAAGACACGCCAATAGCAACGGACATGAAACAGTTTAAATGAAATAAGCATTCTTGTGTATGCATTTCAACGGGGGTTCGCCACTTACATCTGCGATTATCCCAGTGTTCACATCATTATTTCTAAAGTCGATGTTTTCATTGTGATGAGTGTGTGGTTGATTTCAGCTGCATGCAGCGTCAGAAGCACGCGCTTATCGCAGTCATATCAATGGCAGTGTTGCAGGAGACGCTGGAGATCACTATCTACGTCTGTAACAGTTAGTTCCGAGTGAAATGCATTATGGGTAGTGTAGTTCGGAGAAATGTGCTCGCTGTGCTGTGTAATTCAGAAAACGGAAAAAAAAACATTTATATTCTGCTTTTATTTCAGTTCATTCAGGTCAGACCACCCAGGGGTTTTTGTGCACTGTAACTTTGACAACTTTTGTCTGCACGATAGAGTAAAATGGCATGCATTCGCAAACTTTGTCTGTCTCATCATTGCACGAACATGAATTAAGAAGCTGTTACGCTGCCGCTGGGACTGATGAAGTGGAGAAAGTAACAGCAGTTATCAAATGACTAAATTATGATATTTGCTCAGGTGGGTGCTGGGGTCTTATCTATCGGATTGCAATGTATATATCCATTTTGTTAATTAAACATTACACACAGTGCGCGTCTAATTGGAGTTAAGCCAGTCGGCGCCCTATAGTCATAGGCCACTAGTGTTAAGCCGGTTGGCGTGGCAGCCCAGGCTCACATAGTCATAGCCCACTATTGTTAAGCCGGTTGGCGTGGTAGCCCAGGCTCACATAGTCATAGACCACTATTGTTAAGCCGGTTGGCGTGGTAGCCCAGGCTCACATAGTCATAGTCCACTATCGTTAAGCCGGTTGGCATGGTAGCCCAGGCTCACATAGTCATAGCCCACTATTGTTAAGCTGGTTGGCGTGGTAGCCCAGGCACACATAGTCATAGGCCACTAGCTTTAAGCCGGTTGGCGTGGTAGCCCAGGCTCACATAGTCATAGCCCACTATTGTTAAGCCGGTTGGCGTGGTAGCCCAGGCTCACATAGTCATAGGCCACTAGTGTTAAGCTGGTCGGTGTGGTAGCCCAGGCACACATAGATAGCAATAAATGTGGTTCACATGGATCTTCGGAGCAGCAGCAGTACATATGTCTTGGCGATAGATCTGTTTGTGGGGTGGGGGGGGTTTGTCTTGTACTGTCCCTTCAATGTTTCCTGCTTTGTGGGGGTTTATTTCATGTATGTTATATTTGCAGCAGCAATATTTATTACATGCTCACAGCAGCATGATGTGGATGTATTGCCAGTAACAAGTCTCGGTGCTTGCTCTGCCGCAGCAGCAGCGTAGCAGATCTATTCCGCCAAGACCAAATACATGAACATAGTCATGTACATTACCGTGCCAATCCCTCCGAGAGTTGTCATGACAGAACTGTATTTAGCTGCTAAATACTACTAGGTGCCAACCAACAGTACAAAGCTTGCTAACGTTTTGCTTCATTTTTACTAGATTTCTTACATCATAAACTTGATAAAGGCAACTATCTCTGAAAATAAAAAACAATTTTAACACGTTCATGAATTTGACTGTAAAGACCCTAAGTATACTGAAACCACATAAGTCCTAACCTTGGGACTGTACCCTAAGGGCTCTTGTGAAGTTTCAGGACTGTAACTAAGTGCTCAAAAGTTATTAATAATGATTTGTCACGTTTTCTGTTTAAATTTACTGTCTGTAGAGTTTCCAGTCACTCTCTGCACCTCCCGAATCTACAGATGTACCCAACATTCCCTTCTGTTCTCTCTTCTCTTTTGATGGCATAAGAGAATCTGTCCATCAGCTAAGAGACAAACTGGAGGATTTCTGCAAAGAAGAGCTCAAAAAGATCTCTGACAGAGGTAGTGACCTCTGACCTGAAACCCCAAATTCCATGAGTTTCATGCTATGTCAAAAATGAGGAACAAATCGGGATTTATAAATGTACATAAGAACATTTTCACATCAGTTTTTACATTATACCCCAACTAAAGAGCATGTGAATTAAGCTTTTGCACTCATATACCAATTGTTAAAATAATCCAACTTTGATTATGAAAATGTGAAGATAAATAGGCACAATGTGTTACTATTGTTTTATGCAAAAGAAACAACAGCTCACTTGTGCATGTGTATATATATATATATATATATATATATATATAAATACATTTTAAATTATGATGAGTAGTACTTTTTCTGAACCATAACTGTTCTGTAAGTAGGGATAATGCACTTGTTTGCAGGTACAATTGTTTGTGCATACAGTATAAATCATTCTTAGGAAAATTTCAGAAACTGTTGTACATTCACATTTAGGATTATTCTATGCATGTTTTTATAAATGAGGCCCCTGGAGATTCATCTGCTCCCAGAAATGAGTCCGCCATCATCTAATATCATGTACAACATAATATTTTAAATGTCTTAGGAATGGATGCAGGGATCATTTTCTCTTGACATTATAATTACTGTTCTTCTCTGTTGATTTCCACAGTCACAATGACCAACATTGCTCCCAGGAC